TACCCATTCTTCCTTTTGTTATTGGAGCAGGAGTACTAAGCAAACTAGGTACTGGCATTGGCGGTATTACAACCTCTACTCAGTTCTACTACAAACTATCTCAAAAACTAAATGGTGACATGGAACGGGTCGCTGACTCCCTGGTCAACTTGCAAGATCAATTTAACTCCCTAGCAGCAGTAGTCCCTCAAAATTGAAGAGCTTTAAACTTGCTAACTGCCAAAAGAGGGTGAACCTGTTTATTTTTACGGGAAAAATGCTGTTATCATGTCAATCAATATGGAATCATCACCGAGAAAGTTAAAAAAATTCGAGATCGAATACAACATAGAGCAGAGGAGCTTCAAAACACCGGATCCTGGGGCCTCCTCATCCAATGGATATCCTGGATTCTCCCCTTCTTATTATTAACAAAAAGTAATTAAAAGTTTAACAAACTGGCTGAAAACTCACCAAGTGTCAGACTCACCAGCAATCAGAAAAATGGTAATTTACCAGCATTTCCTCATTGGAGTTCTCTCTCTGGTAAGGGCATATCTAGATCTGTAAAGGTCAGTGGACTCTGAATCAATTTTATGGTTTTCAAAAAATCACCATGTATTGGCTGGGCATGGTGGCTCACGCCTGTAATCCCAGCACTCTGGGAGGCCGAGGCGGGTGGATCACTTGAGGTCAGGAGTTTGAGACCAGCCTGGTCAACATGGTGAAACCCGCATCTCTACTACAATATAAAAATTAGCCAGGCATGGTGCTGGGCGCCTGTAATCCCAGCTACTCGGGAGGCTGAGACAGGAGAATCACTGGAACCCATGAGGCAGAGGTTGCAGTGAGCTGAGACTGCACCACTGCACTTCAGCCTGGGAGACAGAGCGAGACTCGACTCTTGTCTAGAAAAAAACAACAAACAAACAAACAAACAAACAAAAACCCACCACGTATTAGGATACTAATGATAGTCCCTATATCCATCCAGAAGTTCCAGAACTGCTGGCATAAAGCACTGACTACTCCACGGCTCCACACTTAGCGCCTGCCTGGAGGCTCCCGGACGCCGAGGTCCAGGAGAATGCCTGGTTTCAGTCATTTCTGGGCTGTGACAACACGTGAGCAGGGAGCACTGTGTGAGTCTCTGGGAGGGAGTCCTCCTGGGGCCCAGAGACTCCTCCACCCCTGAGGAGGGCAGACAGGTTGGGGAGAGCCTGGCCAGGGCCCTAGAGACAGGCAGGGGGCAGGCATGCCCCACCCACGCACGTCCTTCTGTTCTGATAGCACCTGGACCCCCTGTACTTTTTCGTAGAACATAAGTTTTTGAGCAACTGATTATTAGGGTGCTCATCTGTTGAACATACCTCCTCATAGAACATGAGCTCCATGAAGGCAGGGCTCCTATGTGCCTTGACCACTCTATGCCCAGTGTCTAGTACAGGGCCTGGCACATAGTAATAACTCCATACATCCTTGCTGAGTGTGGAAATTAATGCTCTTTGGGGCACAGAATTCAAGGGCTGGCATGGGAGGTGGGCAGGGAGAAAGTCCCGGGGCTTTACTTAGAGCTGATGTGGACCTGGTGGAAAAGTTGTTTAAATCTCAGATGGGCAATTTGGGAGGCCGAGGCGGGTAGATCACTTGTGGTCAGGAGTTCAAAAACAGCCTGGTCAACATGGTGAAACTCTGTCTCTACTAAAAATACAAAAATTAGCTGGATGTGATGGCGCGTGTCTATGGTCCCAGCTACTCAGGAGGCTGAGGCACCAGAATCGCTTGAACCCGGGAGTTGGAGGTTGCAGTGAGCTGAGATTGTGCCACTGCACTCCAGCCTGGGTGACAGAGTGAAACTCTGTCTCAGAAAAAAAAAAAAAAAAATTCAGAAGGAAACTCCTCACCACTTGTATCCATAACCGCAATTTGGACTTACTAACTGACAAGTCTAATGGGCACATATTCCAAGGGGAACTTTCCTGAGAGTTCCACCCTGGGCTAGTGTTATAATAAGGTAGTTGGCTCCTCGTTCCCCTTGTCATTCTTTGGGTGAATAGCTTGGTGCATATAGAAAGTAGCCATTTCCCTCCTACTTTCACCCTTCACATTGTGGACACTGAGCCTGTTCGTTTGTTTGTTTGTTTTGAGACAGGATCTCACTTTGTCACCCATGCTGGAGTGCAGTGGCACAATCTTAGCTCACTGCAACCTCTGCCTCCCAGGCAATTCTCCAAGTAGCTGGGACTACAGGTGTGAACCACCACGCCCAGCTAATTTTTGTGTTTTTTGTAGAGATGGGGGTCTTGCCATGTTGCCCAGGCTGGTCTCGAACTCCTGATCTCAAGCAATCTGCCTACCTCGGCCTCCCAAAGTGCTGGGATTACAGGCATGAGCCACTGGGCTGGGCCCTCTAAGCCTATTGTAACCCATAATTGGAATGGTGAGTTTGGGAATAATATTCATTGAGTGCTCTATTTGTAGCAGACATGTATTATTTTATTTTATTTCTTCTCTCTCTCTTTTTTTTTTATATGGAGTCTCGCTGTTGTTGCCCAGTCTGGAGTGCAACGGCACTATCTCGGATCACTGCAACCTCCACCTACTGGTTTCAAGCGATTCTCCTGCCCCAGTCTCCTGAATAGCTGGGATTACAGGCGCTTGTTATCATGCCTGGGCTAATTTTTGTATTTTTAGTAGAGATGAGGTGTCACCATGTTGGCCAGGCTGGTCTTGAACTCCTGACCTCAGGTGATCCGCCAGCCTCAGTCTCCCAAAGTGTTGGGATTACAGGCATGAGCCACCGCGCCTGGCCTATTTTAGATTAATTCATGGTAATTCCAGGTGTTAGGTACTTTTATTATTTCCATTTCATAGATAAATGAACTGGGTTTTGAAGAAATTAAGTATCTTGCTCATGGACACATTGTAAGTAACTGGTAAAACTGAGATTCCAGTTCACGTCTGTCTGGCACAAGCACCCAAACACTTCACTTTTGTTCTATATTGCCAAAGGATTGTAGAATTCTATAAATGATTTCTTTTTGTCTGATGGTCTTTTGAAATTTCATTTACACCTTTCACCTGAAGTGCCTTTTGAAACTGTCATCTTGAAGTCCCCCGAGGGAGGGAGGCACTTTTCTTTTGATATCAGATCACTGAAACCCCAAATCTGTGTTCACCGTTCCATGTTTGAGTCAGTGCAGGCCTTGCGCTCAACTTTCTTGATTTTACAAGGACATTTTCCAGAAGCCAAAGCAACAACGACAACAGAAAAAGTCCCTTGACTATACAGAGAAGGCAGTTTGTAAAGAAATAGGAAAGAAAATACACAGGAATTTATTAAATTTAAATTATATTTAAACAGATAATGTTCAAAGGCTCTAAGTCTGATGCTTGTCAAAGGACTTTGACCCAAACAGAAAGGTAGATTTTAAAAAGTATTCCACAGGGTAAGGTTTGGGTGAGAAAAAAGTCATCAAAACATAGACCTAAATTAATAAATAAGGCTTTTCTCAGCTACATGGTCCTGACGAAACAGCTTTGAAGTCTGTCTATGTGTTCTAGAATCCTTGTTAATTGGCAACCAAGAACAATCCCTCATACAGATCTTTCAATTAAAAAGCCTAAATTAAATAAAATACCAGGTAAAGACTTTCTGCTACCAAAATTGTTCAAAGCCTGACTTAATTGATGAGAGCTGATCCTTCTTCACTTTTTGCCTTAACTATAGAGAAAAAAATAAAAATTTCAATATGTGTGCATGCAAATATCTAACATTATTATGTATTAGTTTTTTGAATGTAAAAAAATTAGAAAAACAGAAATGACACATAATCTCATTCTCCAGAAAACTCCTTTTTTTGTTGTTGTTTTTTGTTCTGAGGCAGAGTCTCATTCTGTTGCCCAGGCTGAAGTGCAGTGGCATGATCTCGGCTCGCTGCAACATCTGCCTCCTGAGTTCAAGTGATTCTCGTGCCTCGGCCTCCCGAGTAGGTGGGATTACAGTCTCCTGCCACCACGCCTGGATGCTTTTTGTATTTTTTGATAGAGAGGAGGTTTCACCATGTTGGCCAAGCTAGTCTCAAACTACTGACCGGAAGTGATTGCCACACCTCAGTCTCCCAAAGGCTAGGATTACAGGTGTGAGCCACCATGCCCAGCCTCCCGTATTTGCTTTTATTAGAGTAATACATGTACCTGTTTAAAAAAAAAAAGAACTATGCAGGAAGATATAAAATGAAAAACCAAAGCTCTTTCCTACCACCACCCAGTTCCTCTCCCAGATCATCACATTAATTTTCTTCTGCATCTGTCCAGGAAAATAAGGTGTATATATACATTAAAATGCATATCATGAAATATATAGTCTTTTAAAAGAATTTTACCATATCCATTTAACTTTGCTTTTTCATATATAATGTCTTGGAGATTTTATAAACCAGCAAATAGAGACCAATTGTATTTTAAAAGTTATTATTTTTCATTTTGAAATGATTACAAACCTGTAGAAATTTGGAACTACTGTGTATTAAACAACAACAACAACAACAACAAAAATGTTCTTGAGTGATTTGAAAGTTACTGACCTGATGCCCCATCACGCCTGAATACTCTAGAATGTATTTCCTACAAAGATGTTTCCCTACATAACCATGATACAGTGATCAATATCAGAAAATTAATAACAATACACTATTCCCATCTAATTCTCACATTATTCAAGTTTTGTCAGTTGCCCTGATAGTGGCTTTTATAGCAAAAGGATCCAGTTCAGAATCACAAGTTGCATTTAGTTGTCATGTCTTTTTATTCTGCTTCAGTCTGGAGTATTTTCTCAATCTTCTCTTGAATGATCTTTATACTCAGGCTGGAGTACAGTAGTGTGATCTTGGCTCACTGCAATCTCTGGTTTCTGGGCTCAAACCATCCTCCCACCTCAACCTCCCAAGTAGCTAGGACCATAGGCGTGCACCACCACACCCAGCTATTTTTTTTATGTTTTTGGTATTTTTTTGGTAGAGACGGGGTTTTGCCATGTTACCCAGGCTGGTCTCGGACTCCTGGCCTCAAGTGATCCTCCTGTCTCAGCCTCCCAAAGTACTAGGGTTACTGGTGTGAGCCACCGTGCCTGGCTGATGCTGGGTTCTTCTCCTCGCCTCCCCTCAGGTGGTATGCCGTTTCTGTTTCTCATTACTGATGAAGCTCACTGTGGTCACTTGATTAAGGTGGTGTTTGCCAAGTTTCCCAACTGTAAAGTTATTATTTTTTTCTGTTTGTAATTAATAAGTACTTTGTGGAGAGGAATTTGAAACTAAGCATGTCATTGCGCAGCAAACTTTTATTTAATTAATTAATTAATGTCTTTTGGACTCATGGTTTCTATTTTATTCAGTGGGTTGTTCCCACCATCACTTATTTGGATACTCAAATATCAAATCAAATTTTGATACTCTCGCTTTCCCTTCAAAACCCAACAGCCACTGCTTTGTCCAATAGAAGCTAGCTTATATGTCTTTTGACATGCCCCCATTGTTGTTTAGGACCTTCCTGATTGTTGCTGTTATTGTTTTGGCACAGAAAGATGGTTCAAATTCATCTTTTACTTTCCCTGCTGGTACTGAAATCCGCCATTTCTCCAAGGGACCCTGGTTTCTTTGAGTGGAAAATGGCATTTAGAAGCCAAGATCTTGGTGGTAGATGTGTCTATTGATATTGGGACATTGCTGCCTCAAGCCCTCTTAGTGGACAGAGCTACATACATCCATACACGTCTACGTTCATTTCTATATCTATTTATATGAGGTCACGCCAATAACTTCAATTCCAATCTAACACCACAAGGTTTATTCTAGGTGTCTCTCTTTTTGTATTTGTAACTCTTGTTTCCAACAGTGTGAAGTCTGGCTTCCGTTAGTCTTAACATACTTACTTAATCCTTTGTACATAATCAATATCGATATTGTTATTGATTGATCAGTGTCAATCAATATCCAGTCTTTGCTGCCACGTCCCCTCTAGTAGTAATGCCTGTCTTTTTCTGTTTGGGCTCTGATACCTTATGCTGGGCTGCTCCATCATGGCCTTTCTTTTTGCTCTGTTGGGCTCTGACTCCACTTGCTGGGCCATAATCCCCAACACTGCCATGGATGTCCTCTTCATCCCATTCAGGCTCTGACTCCACATACCAGGCTATCCTCCACCTAGAATCCTCCTCACCCTGCTTTGGCTCTGATGCTCCAGGTTAGACTACCTCATTCCCTATGCCTTCCTCTTCCTGCTCAGCCCTGACTCCCCACACCAGGCTTCCCATCTTCATGGACACCCTCCTCCCCCAACTTGGGATCAGGCACCTTGTGCTGAGCAGCCCTCCTCCATGGACCCTGCTTCACACTGCTCAGGACCACCATGGTGCCACTCCAGCACCAATGGCTGCTGGGCCCGAGAGGAACATGTAGATGTTCTATTATTTAAGTTCTTTTATATTTGAAAATGTCTGTCTTTTATCTTTATATCTGAACATGTTGGGTTGTTAAAGTATTTTTGGATTTCATCTTTTTTCTCTTAGAACCTTGTAGATTGTGCTCCATTGTCTCCCAGCATTATGTTTCTGTGAAGAAGCCTGGGACCAACATAAATTATGGTGCAAGTCGGGCGCAGTGGCTCACACCTGTAATCCCAACACTTTAGGGGGCTGAGGCGGGTGGATCACTTGAGGTCAGGGGTTCAAGACCAGCCTGGCCAACATGGCGAAACCTCATCTCTACAAAATACAAAAATTAGCTGGGTGTGGTGATGCATGCCTGTAATCCCAGCTACTTGGGAGGCTGAGGTGGGAGAATCACTTGAACCTGGGAGAGAGAGGTTGCAGTGAGCTGAGATCATGCCACTGCATTCTAGCTTGGGCGACAGAATGAGACATTGTCTCAAAAAAAAAAAAAAAAAAATAGTTCTATCTCCCTGCCCATTCCCCAAGATATTTTTATGTTTCTGCATGGATAATCAGGGTCTAGTTAGGAAACATATGCCACAACAATCATTTTACCAGAGAGAATTTATTCTAGAGAACTGTTAACTAGGTAACTGAAAAGACAGACAGAGAACACCTGGTGATGTGGAGGTAGCAATGCAGGAGGCAGCTGCTAGCATTAAGACTGGGGAAACAAAGGGAAGAACTTGGAAGTATCAAAACACAGAGCCTGGGGGAGGACCTCAGACCTCTGGGAAAGTGGGCTTTGGCAGTCTAGTGCTGGTGTTTCTGGGGCAGAAGGTAGAGTGTAGCGAGACTGGTTCCATGAATTTGGGAAAACTGCGAACTAGACCCAACTGATACTAGAAGAAACTGCTGGGGTGAAAAAGAAACACTGGGTGATGCTGACAGTGATATGACAATAGGAAGCAGATAGGGGGTAAGTCCCCTCTTCATCCTCCAGCCTTGTAGCCTCTCTCTATTGCCTCCTATTGGCAGAACTTCCCCCAGCTGGCAAGAAGAAACTTTTGCAGAGTCCTCACTGTAACATCACAAAGCCAAATGGAGAGAGTGGGTTTGAAATTGAGAAACAATAGCTTAACTAGAACAACACTTTAACTAAACTATATCTTGGTCTTGAGTATTAAGCTAACCTCCCACCTCAGCCTCCTGAGTAGCTGGGGTTACATGCGTGTGCCACCATGCTTAGCTACTTTTTGTATTTTTGTAGAGATGGGGTTTCGTTGGCCAGGCTGGTCTTGAATTCTTGACCTCAAGTGATCAGCCTGCCTTGGCCTCCCAAAGTGCAGGGATTATAGGTGTGAGTCACTGCCCTGGCCTCTTAAGTAATATTTTATTGTATATCAGATTCTTTGTCCCTCTTTTGCGTTTGATTTTATTTACTTATGCTCTACTTCACACGTGTGGTTGCTATGTCCTTTATTTGAGTGATTAAGTCCAGACATTCTGTTTGTCTGACATTGATGACAGACTATTCTCCTGTATCTTGATTCTATTTTCAAAAAGTGAAATTACCATTTTTACCCCAAACAATATAGCCACGAATTTCTCCTCCTCCTCCTCTTCTTTTTCCCCTCCTCCTCCTCCCTCCTCCTCCTGTCCTCCTTCCCCTCCTCCTTCTTCTCCCCCACCTTTTTTCTTCTTCCTCCTCCTCCTCTTTCTTCTCCTCTTCGCCTTCTGCTTCTCCTCTTGTTCCCCCTTGTTTTTTCTCTTCCTCCTCCTCCTTTTGCTTCTATTTCTCTTCTTCCATCTCCTTCCCCAACCTCCTAATTTACCCCTTGACCTTACTTTGTTTTTAGACTTTTTTTTCTCTCCACCTTCTCCTCTTTCTTCCTCATCATTCTAAGTAAATTTTATGCCAATTTTCTTCTTTACAAACTGAAAACCCACGTTTCCCATGTCAACATTTTATATATGAATAAGTATAGTTTTATTTGTAAAATCAATTTGTAATTTTTTAAAAAGGGATTTTTATAGAATTAAGATAGTATTTTGCTCAGACCCAGGAATACTGGAATCTTGTCATTGACTATACAAAATATGGCAGAGACACATAAAGAAACAGGAGATAAATGTCAAAGAAAAAATAACATATCATAGGACTCGTATCCCAAGTCCCCACAGGCCTGTCTTGTAAACTTGGCTGGAGCAATGACCAAGGTTAAAGAGCCTTAGGGCATGTTTTTCTCCTCCTTAGCCCAATACCAAATCCTGGGTCTTACCATGCTTTGGTCTGCAGGGGCAGGGAACTGTCACAATGAGCGTGACTGCATGTAAATGCGGGGAGATGGTGGTGTCTACACTGGCTCCCTACTGCTCCAGTCATATGGAAGGAGGCAATGGAATAGAAGGGCCGTAGTTATGCCCCCTGAACATATGTTGATCCTGCCTGTCAGTAAACTTGGCCCAACTGGCATGACTTCAGACAGTGAAGCAGGGAGGAAAAGTGGATGTAAAGGGTCATCTTGAATGCATCTCTTGCCCTACAGCCCCATGCTGCTTTCTGGGATCAGGACTAATAGACGATCACAATTATATTGACTCTTCATGGGCCTTTGACTACATGGCTGGGGATCCACATGCAACACTTGCGTCTTAATGGTAAGAGTGGAGGTTGGGAGAAATGGCTCCCCCTAGGCCAAATACTACTGTGAGTGACACAAAACAGGACTCTGGCCAGGCGCGATGGCTCACGCCTGTAATCCCAGCACTTTGGGAGGCCGAGGCGGGCGGATCACAAGGTCAGGAGATCGAGACCACGGTGAAACCCCGTCTCTACTAAAAATACAAAAAAAAATTAGCCGGGCATGGTGGCGGGCGCCTGTAGTCCCAGCTACTCAGGAGGCTGAGGCAGGAGAATGGCGTGAACCCAGGAGGCGGAGCTTGCAGTGAGCCGAGATCGCGCCACTGCACTCCAGCCTGGGCGACAGAGCGAGACTCCATCTCAAAAAAAAAAAAACCAACAGGACTCTGTTTTGAAGAACCGCATTCTCTCAAACACCTTTGTGGTCTGAAACTGCTTTTGGATAATGTGGATGTGTGCCTCCCTGCCACAGGTGTTGGAAGTGTGAGTCCTTATGTAGACTGATGGCAGTGGGTAGATTGGATGAGGGGACTCTTCAGGAATCAGTGGGTATGGTTATCTAACTGCTAACATAAAGAAGCTCCATATAGGCTGCTCTAAAAGTCATAGCATAGTTCTGGAGATGTCTTCTAAAATTTATTTTATTTTATTCATTTTATTTCTGTCTAATTGCCTTATAGAACAAGTAATTTTAAGCAATAAAGAATAAAGAATAATGGAAAGGACATGGGTTTTGGCGACAGAAAGAACTGAGTTTTCACTGTGGCTTTGGCATATACAGCTCTGTGAATTGGGTGATTACTTAACTACTAGGAGCTCTATTTACAGTTTCCTCAACTGCAAAATAATGGGCAATAATAATGTAGTCTAAAAAACTAAAAACTACCGAGCGAAATAAAAGTGGTGGTGGAGTTTTAAAAAATTCACATAGCTGACAGCCTGTTGGAGAAATATCTGAGAATTTTCACCTGTAGCAACATCTGTGGGGCAAAGGTTTTATTGACCCTTTCTTAAATTTGGATTTTGTGGAGAGGAATATCAGTTTACTATAGATTCTTGGCTACTGAGACTTGCATAAGACCTGCATTTTATTTTATT